GGGGCAGTGAACAGCCAAAATTAAAAATGCACAATACAAACATTAAAATACTTCAAAATGAAATTAAATTTATGTTTGGCTTCCCCAATTTAAAACCCCTTACCCATAAAATTCCCCAATTAAAAGATTTTTAACCCAGCCTGGCTTGCTGAAATAAAAAAGTCTTCAGGGGCCGGCGGAAGGTCCAGAGGTCTGGGATCAGTCGTATCCCTGGGGGTAGTTCATTCCAAAGGGTGGGTGCCCCCACAGAGAAGGCTCTTCCCCGGGGGGTCGCCAGCTGACATTGCCTGACCGACGGCACCCTGAGGAGGCCCTCTCTGTGGGAGCGTATTGGCCGGTGGGAGGTTATCAGAGGCAGAAGGTGGTCTCGTAAATAACCGGGCCCTAAGCCATGGAGCGCTTTGAAGATGAGAACCAATACCTTGAAGCGCACCCGGAAGACCACTGGAAGCCAATGAAGTTCACGCAGGAGAGGTGTCACGTGGGAGCGCCATGTCGCCCCCATAAGTACCCGCGCGGCCACATTCTGCACCAGTATAAAATATAAAATATAAAAATTATACTCTAAAATTATTTCCTAAAATTGTCAAATTTCAGGAACAAAGTTCTCATGTGAAAAAAACCCTCATGTGAAAAAAAACAACTTTAAATATGATTAAAGGATACTTTCCTTTGATAAATAAAGATACATAAAAAATATCACATTTCTGAGAAAAAAAGCAAATTGTGAAAATTCTTCCATATTATGGGTAGATATTGCAAGAAGTATAGACAAGAAGTTAGGCACATTCTTGTTTATTTAGTCCTTCTAAACGCTTTTTTTTCATGTTACAAAATACAGAGGGACAGTCTGAAACATATTAACACACATTCTTTTAATATTTTTATTTTAATTAATTTTTAAATCTATACGCTGTTCATCTCACTGTCAAATAACTCTGGGTGGCTTACAACATCATAAAACCCAACATACAAAACATAAAATATTAAAAGGAAGAAAGTTTAAAAACCAAAGTTTAAAATGCAATGGGGTAGGGCAGAGGTTGGCAACCTTAAACACTCAAAGAGCCATTTGGACCCGTTTCCCACAGAAAATACTGGAAGGCACAAAATCCTCCCTGTGCCTGACTATTTTCTGAGCAGCCACAGAACTAGCATATGTAGTTGAATTAAACATTGTTTTCTTCTGAAACTTTTCTTTTCTTGGATTTATCCATGGTTGGCCTACTGGGGGTCGAAAAGTTCAATAAATTGTGTGCCGATGGGTATCACACATTGGTGGTTGTAATGCATATTTTGAGCAACAGGGAGCCACAGCAGAGGGATGAAAGAGCCACATGCGGCTCCAGAGTCGCGGGTTGCTGTTCCCTGGGTAAGGGGTGGGGAATCTTCTTCCTAATCCACTAACCACTTCTAGCATTTGCTAATATTCAATCAAAGAGAAGGTGACACCTCAAAGAATGTAGGCCCAGGAAATTTCACAGTCATCATTTTGAAAGTCTGCATTTGTACCGTGCTGTTTATCTCACACTTTCTCACTTCTGTATATGATGAGGCAAATCCATGTTTGCATCTTACTATTTCAATCTCAAGACTGTTGGATACACACACTTCCTGCCACCAACTTGTTTCCTTTTTTAAAAGTATTATATTTCAAAAACAAACATTAAAATACAAACTAACATAGAAGGGGAAAAAAAGGAAGGGAAATAGCAAGAGATGTTAAAAAGTGACCAGAAAAAATGCATCAGACAAATATATAATAAAAGTGATCTCGAACTTTTTTCAGTAGAGAGATAAATAATACAATACAACAACTTTTCTCTTGGTTTACATGAATAATATGTTTAAATGTTTAAAATATCTTAAAATACTAATACCATGTTTTCCCAAAAATAAGACCCTGTCTTATATTTTTTGAACCCCAAAATAAGCACTTGGCCTTATTTTCGGGGAGGTCTTATTATTTTAGGGCACTTGGAACAAGATGGGGTTCCTCTTGCCATCTTACCTGATTTCAAGCTCTGCATTTAAATATTTTTGGGGAGGGCTTATTTTTGGAGGGAGACTTATTTTAGTGCATGCGCTCAAAAGTCTGATTGGGCTTATTATCAGGGGATGTCTTATTTTCGGGGAAACAGGGTAATCAACACTAAAAACCAATATTTGTTTTATATTCCTGTCTTAATTTTAACACACAATAATGTCAGGCCTGGAAGCCATCTTTTGCATTGGACCTTCAGGCCTGCCACATGTACTGCTGTGGGAAAATGGGATGGGGGATTGTGTGGAGCAGGGATGATATATAGTCATAATAACATTCCTTTCTCAAAGAGTCAAGGACATTTTGCACTGCACCTGGAGGAGTGTGGCTGAGAGGCATCTCCAGTTGGGACGGTATTTTGATTGGACCATGTGATGAACTTGTGGTGCAGGGGAAGGGACTAGGACTTTTCTTTGGGTGGGGAAAACCTGGAAACTTTCAGATTCGGGTTTTCCCAGATGTGCCAATATTACACCTCTAATAAAATTGAACTTTGAGGAACCTCAAGTCTCGGAGTCTTCTTTCATTGGGAGTGTTACTTGGAACCCTGACAAATAAATTATCAAACATGGATTCCCATATATTGGAAAAAAACCAAATATTTCTCTAGTCAAATCACATCTAATCATCAAATCTCAAAGTCAAAAATTAATTCTTCTCTTTATCTTGTAAGAAATTTAGCAGTGGTCTGTATGTCATGAGAAATTTAATCAAATTATTTTCCCCAAGCAAATTATTCAACCAACTTGTTACTTTCTTGGTGCAGAATAGAGGAGGAATCACTTGATGGCCTCATCATCTCTATTTTTGTACTGCTAAGTATATAAAGGGATTAAAGCAGGAGTAATATAAAGCCAACTCTTTGGGATTTCCCATAATAAATACCCCCGTATGGTTTCCATTAATTCCTTATTCTCATTTTGCCACTGGTTTAAGGTTTGCTGATGTTGAATATTCAAGAGGGATAGAAGGATGGATGGGTGGATAAATGATAGATAGATAGATAGATAGATAGATAGATAGATAGATAGATGATAGACAGACATTTAACTCATTTTAATGTGCTTCATTTCATTCTATGCAGACAAAACTACTTACATATTTTTGTTTAAGAATACACTTACTTTTGCCATAGTGAATGTGCTTACTTACATTAGATTTATATTTTTATTAATTGCATAGTGGATGATGTCAACAAAGGCAGGCTGCCAAGTTTAATGTGAAAATTCAAAGAAAACTAATGATCAGTCACAATATGGGATGTCCTTCCCATTACAAACAAATAAATTAGATTTAAAAACAGGACGACAATTAATCACATAATGGTCATGCTGAGATTAGGAAAATGTCTTGCATTGCTCCAACTACTGTTGATAGTGATTGATACTGTGCATTTATTTGTAGTGTGCTTATGTTTAATTATGAGTATGCATTACATTCTTTTTACCTGTAGCCTGCTTAGTTATAGACATACATAAGCTTTAAAAATCTATTGCCATTTCTGTGCTGACATCACAAAACCTGCAGTGCCATTTGTCCTTCCTCTGGTGTTCTATGGATGACCATGAGATTGACATTAATTATGATAAGCACTGCCGATAGGAAATTATTTTACAAAATCAAATTTGTTTGGAGAACATTTCATGGAAATAAATTTATTTGGGAATACATGTTATATACAACATTTGAGAACTGGACTTTTTAACAGTCAATGCACTTTTCAAATAGACAGCTATTTAAAGTTTCAACTGCGAAAACATCTTAGGGAGATATTTACGCAAGTGAGATTCAAACAGCTCGACACAATGGTCAGATATGGGAGATTCCATTCTATCCCTATAATAGGGGAATCCCTATAATAGATATCTCTGCATTTGCGGAGCGGCAGAGATAGAAGACCTGACTCACATCCTATTTGACTGTATAAGAGGGTGAGAGACAGATAACTTGGTCTATATACTAAACAAATGACCCATTGGGATCCCCATATCAAAACAACTTACCTTATGTGCAACCAGAATCTGAAAATAATATTTAACACAGCATAGTATCTGAGCAAAATGGTTCAGCTGAGATCAGCAAATGTGGGACTGATTGGGGTAGATTGTAGGGATGATACCAAAATATAATTTTGTCATATTTTATTTATCTATATATTAAACTAGTTGGACACCCGTGCTTCACTACGGAACTATATGCTCGGGCTTGATAAATTGACACTTGCAGCCTGAAACTTAATGTAGAATGTGTAACTCTGTAGCATCAGAGTGTGTTAATATAATGCAACTGGCAGTTGGAACAGAGGGGGAAGGGGAGTAGAATGTCCCAGTCCACAGCATCCATCGGTATTCATCTGGCTAGCATCCTGTCAGTGTGTGAAAGAGTTGAGGGGTGTTTGGAAACTCAAACAGTATTTGCTGTGTCAGCAGGAAGGAGGCTGGGCGTGGCTTAGCTCAACTGTTCTGTAGTAAAGCTGCTTCCTGCTGTGAAAGTAAAACTGAAAGTGAAACTCCTCTCCTCTGCTTGTGTTGCATTTGAAACAGATTTCTTTTCAGGTAAGGAGTTGGGAGAAGAACTCCTTAGCACCAGAGCATGTTAATAATAATATAGGAAATACCAATGCTCTGATGCTCATTTCAAAAAATCCTTTTTTAGTGAGCACCTAGAAGCCAAGAAGAACACATGTGGCAAATTTCAAGTTTTCAATTTCATTTTAAACTGTAATTTGATTCCAATTTCATTTTAAATCACATTTTATTCCAATTTCATTTTAAATTATATTTTATCCAATTCAATTTTATACTGTTTTTATCAGATATTTTTAGTAATAATTTGTGTCTGGAACTCTGCACTTTGCTATGGCCCAAGAGCTAATCAATAAAGTAAACTAACAGTCAACGGATGGAATTTGGACCTGGGAAATCTTCCTTGTTCCAATCTTCCTTCAACCACAGAAACTAAGCATGTTATTTTGCTCAGGCAGTAGGTCAACAACCAGGATTGTCACCTTGGATTAAATATGGAGGTATGCTACTGGAATAAAAGTAAAATGTAAGTCAAATAATTGAATGTGTTTGCTGAAATGGCCTCTAGTGTTTGAGGAGAAGAACTGTTTTGGGAACAAAAAAGACTAGTACATGAAATCTTTGAAATAATCTTGTTAAATCAAACCTGCATGGGTTTATCACACATCATTGTCACAGTTAGGAAATTGTACTTGCAATCGTGTCATGAATATGTCCTTAGAAACATTATTACTTTTGCAAGTAAATAGCATTTCATGGTGATTTCTTTATTGGAAAAAAAAAGGAATTATGACAGGTCCGAAGATTTGATGCAGGCAGATTCCCCTGAACCTGTTTTTCCATTTATAATGACAACTAAATATTGACCTACTCAGTATCTATGTAAAGCTTCAGACTTTCAGGTCCAAGTTATCGAGGGGTGCAGAAATTCTCTTTGTTTTCTAAAGGTAATCAATACATTCTGGGAATTCTTTAGCAAAAGGCAGAAAATGTGAGGCATGATATTAAATTCACAAAAGGCAAAAGTGAAACTCTCATTGCCAGAATGATAATGCTATTCAAATATTGAGATGCCTTTATCTTTATTTTGTAAAGGCAGGTTTACAATTATGAGAAGGGACGTGGTAGCTCAGTGGCTAAGATGCTGGGCTTGTCGATCAGAAAGGTCGGCAGTTCAGCAGTTCGAATCCCTAGTGCCACGTAACGGAGTGACCTCCCATTACTTGTCCCAGCTTCTGCCAACCTAGCAGTTTGAAAGCATGTAAAAACTGCAAGTAGAAAAATAGGGACCACCTTTGGTGGGAAGGTAACAACGCTCTGTGCGCCTTTGGCGTTTAGTCATGCCGGCCACATGACCACAGAGACATCTTTGGACAGCGCTGGGTCTTTGGATTTGAAACGGAGATGAGCACCACCCTCTAGAGCTGAAAACAACTAACCCGCATGTGCAGGGGAACCTTTACCTTTAAAATTATGAGAGTTTTCCTACATCCCAACTTATCCAGCCCTGATATTTAAGAGATATCATAAATTAAACCGATAAAACAAAACATATTTAAACAGAAAGTTTATTTAATTATTGCTTTGGCCCACTGAACCTCCATATTCACCAAGTATGAAAAATGCTACAACTTAGTTTTTAAATGAGCCAGGAGAATTACATAAAAACAGGTTTCTGATATCATATCGTATGGAAATATATCTTTCATTCCAGGGACAATAGAGGAAATCAGTACCGTTCTGGTCTCTTTCTGATTTTTGAAATGCAAAAAAAGATGAATAATCCATTTAGAAGAAAATAACTTCTTTGAAACAAAATCATCACATGTGGAGCTACATTTCAGCAGCTTGCTAATGAGACCACTGTGAGACCCTCTGTACCAAATTAAAATCAGTAACTTGCTTTGTCATCCCCTCTCACAATGTCCCTCAGTTCCTAACTACTTCCATTCATCTGTGAAACTTCAAAGAAATTTCTTTATGGCTTCACTTATAGAATGTGCCTAGGTTCTTTGAGGTGTCACCTCCTCTTTGATTGAATATTATCAAATGCTTTATAAATAAATCAAACAGCCAAGGCCTTTAACATGGCAACACCCAAAAAGCTAAGAACAATTTTGATTAGCGGAGAAGAAGAGTAACTATTCTGTGGGAACCCATTTCATATTTCAAGCTGTCATAAGATCACTCAGTGTGCTTCGGCTTGATGTACCAAACAATAAGGGCCTAATAGAGATACAGGCTTGATTGAATAAATGTATTTAATATAAGTTTATTTGTTTGTTTCCCTCTATATTTGTTTGCCTCTATATATTGCCTCACAAAAGAATACCTTATGCCACCAGACTTGAAATTTAGGGCTTAGACAACTTAGAACTATGCCGCCTTCAGACTGACCTAAGCATAGGTTGAAGGTTAGATCTAGTTAGTGGTGGGATTCAAATAATTTAACAACCGGTTCTCTGCCCTAATGAACAGCTGGGTAGGCGTGGCTCATTGATCATGTGACCGTGTGGGCAAGGCCAACTCAATGTCACTCACGTCGATAGGCACTTCGCCTTAGCTATTACAATGCAATAAGGGTTAATCAGAGAGGCAGTTTCTGTAAGCAGAGCAATAAAGGTTAGGCTAGAAACAACACCAGAATGTTTCCTTCCTGCCTTCCTTACAGGATTAGCCCTGTAAAGAGGGGGGGAAAAAAGATTTCTTCCAACAACCGATTCTCCGAACTGCTTAGAAAGTTAATAACCGGTTCTCCCGAATAGGTGCGAACTGGCTGAATCCCACCACTGGTTCTAGTCTCTTTCCTCCCCATCCCCATCTTTGAGCACTGGCCTTCTTTACTTTTTCTTTTTCTAAAGGGAATTCTGTATAGTTTTGGCGTCATGCTGTCCCTCCACTGTTCCTGTTTCTAATTTGGGAAATTTTTCATCAGCATGACTGGTTCGGCCCCGTCTTTAAATAAAAACCCATTTTTCAGGGTAACTTCTAAAGATGGAAAGGGGGTATTACTTCCTTCACATGCATGCTTTGTTATCTAGATTAAGTAACAGAGGTCAGCCATGCTTTGCTCCTATTAATTTGATCAATTGTATTTATTTCTGGACTCGCTATAAAAAGCTGGTACAAGTCTGATCTCTAAGAGAAATAAATCTGGGGCCAGAATTTCCTTAGCTCAGTGATTCTTGGACCACAGGGTGGTATACAGAGATTGCGGTTTAAGATTGTATGGTCAACTTTCAGCAGCAACTTATACAATTAGGCTAGCATGGTTTTCTGCTTTTGTTAAAATAATCAGTAAAGCGGCAATGTTAAACCTCTGATGGGTTATTTATTTATTTATTTTTAAATTAAAAAGGCTATCCCACTGCCAGTGATAGAGAGCTAGCAAAAGTATCAGAATGTAATTACCTTATTTGGGGTTTTCTCAGTAATATCACCATCTTACTACTGCATAAAATTTTGATAGAGGCCACATACATGCAGACTAATTTTATTTTAGGACAGATTTTCAGACTTCAATCCATTATGACTTTCCACTAGTCTAGTTATGCATTTTCCTATGTTCAATCAGATTCACTAGTGTATCTGAAAGACAAATTGTGACCATTGTTCTGTTCCCCAGGCATCTGGCTCCACTGGGAACAGGCAGATAAACTCTAGCAAACAGGTTTTCATGCAGATTATATTTATTTCGGGTATCCTCAAACACATAGACTTACAATGATGGTGGGTCAAGGTGAGGTTCATCCAAGTATTTCATAATCTATCCCATTTCCTAGTGTAAAATGACAGTAGTTCTGTCCCCCTGTTCAGAAAGCATGCTTCTCTCTTCTGTGGTAGTTCAAAATGGCCGGGTCTTTGTTCTGCACCCAGGCAGAGAGCCTCACTGGCCAATCAGACACACAGATGTGGTCACATGTCATGGACTACATTTCCCATAATGCAATCTCTCTCTACATCTCCCACAATGCAATCTCTTAAGGAGACAGCTCTTAATTCTTAAGGTAACTAATTCACTATAACTCACTATCTGAAACAGCACAACCATATTTGAAGTACATAAACCTGGGAGACTATGACATAGCTGCAGAGTCCAGAGTTTTTGGTAGCTCCTTGCTGCCATTCAGAGGGCCTCTGGATTTCTGCAATCCAGATGTTGTAGCCTTCACAAAGTAATATAAGGATGGCTGCCTTTTGTAGTAAACCTATTCTAAAATAGGAAGCAGAAGAAATCACGTTGCTGCCCGAAACAATGAAATGATTTTCATTGCTTAATCAGGATCATTGAAACATGTTAAGTATTCCAGGGGAGAGAGGGAAAAAGTTAATTTTAAGCACTTACTGTCAGCAAGGCTGCATAAAGCATCTTGTTGAGATAAGGCAAAAATTCCTTTTCAGAACACTGCCCTCGAGACATTTGATTTAATGGATTACTCTATTAAACTGAGTTACTAAACATCTATCTTCCAAGCCTGTGATTTCTCTTGTGCACAATATGCAAACATTATTTGTGTTGCAGAGTCATATTTCCTACCTGACAACTTCCCTGAAATACCTTTGAGTCCTTTACTCACACAGTTCTATGCATCTTGGAGACTCAAAACACATTCACACACCCTGCTCATAGAACTGTAAGTGATAGGAATTGCTTGGAGTTTATGTTCTTGCTAAAATAAGAACTGAACCACATCCCAACACCCACATGCCCCTGGCCAGGTAAGTCCTTAAAAAACTTTATCCCTCACACTGTTGAATTATTTATCAAAAGTTATATACAAACAAAAACTAAATAATGCCATTTGAGGTTTTTTTTTCTCCCAGTAAGCATAGAGGCTAAAGGCAGACTGCCAATCTCACTGCAAAATTTTTACCATCTTGCCAGAAAAACAAATGGTATTTTACTCCCCATCCTGGAAAATATAGAGATGGATATTATTCATTCTCAAAGAAGAATGAATAGTCAAGGGACATGGATTTTCCCCCCCCTCCTTTCTTCTGAGTATCAGAATTTCGGTCGGTAGCAAAAATGGAAATGACAATGTGAAAGATGCGAAGCAGTGATATTAATAGACCACTGCTCCTGAGCTCTGATCAAAGCAGAGGACTACAAATTTGACCAACCAGGACTGTTGGACAATTAATATCACTGCTTCATTCTTGCGGCAATAGACTCAAGTTTACCAAATTATAATTTCTAATTAGAGATACCTTTCCATTAGAGATTCAAAGCCAGGTTTGTATGCTGACTTGAACAACGAAGAATGCTATACATTTGTTATCCTGGTCACTCCTCCCTCTTCCTCCTTATCATCAGTTTACCCTTGAGGCAGGGGTGAAATTCAACAGGTTCTGGAGAACCGGTAGTAGACATTTTGACTAGTTCGGAGAACCGGCAAATACCACCTCTGGCTGGCCCCAGAGTGGGGTGGGAATGGAGATTTTGCAATATCCTTCCCCGAGGAGTGGAGAGGGAATGGGGATTTTGCAGTATCCTTCCCCTGGAGTGGGGAGGGAATGGAGATT